GTCTTAGAGTAACCTCTATGGTAATACAGTGCTTTCCCGATTTTGTCAGTTTCCAATTTTGTCTACCCCCGATTTTGTCAGCTTTTTTTTCCCGATTTTGTCAGCCTGAAGATATTGCTGAAATTTTTTGTTTTTAAGCATGAATTCTCCAGCATTTCGCTACAAATGACACTTAATTGTTTTGTCGCAACAATAACAAAGGTAACTCAAATAAACCTTAATTATTGCGTAACTGCACAGTTGTATCGAGTCCCTCCCGATAAAGGTAATTAGGTGGCGGATAGAGGTGGGATGGCTGCAATACAAGTTATGGGTAGATCCCCATTCAAGAAGAAGGTTTCGTGATTGCCAAAATTAACGGAATATTCCTTATGCAGTTGCTACGCACCCGATGGACGATGGAGCAGTTCGACGAGACTCTGGTTGAACTTCAATGCTTAGGCAGTGGGGAGTGGAGAAACAGATGTACCAACGCAAGAGGGCACATTCTGCTGAAAGCTCTGGCGAAGCTGGAAATTAGGCTGTTAAATAAAGGCACCACCAGCACTTTTCGCAGAGATGGCTGGGAATCCATTATCAACGTCACTTTATGCGGACTGCAGTCCGTCGCTGGTGGAAAACATGAATTGGAGAGTGTGTGAAGCAATCCGATATGGCATCGGCCTACGGAATCCTGTGGCAGTAGAAAAGAATCGTTAGGGAGAGCATGTGATACACCCATGCCGAGGAAACTGGAGCTAAACAACAGACGGCCTCCAGCTTACTGCTGCGAGGAAATTAGCACTCTCCGCGCTAGTTGTCTCAGAGCCAGAAGACGTGTTCAGAGAGCAAGAACAGAAGCAGACAAAGAGGAATGATCCAAGCACATAAACGAGAGATAAAGCAGAGCAAGTCAAACTGTCAACTGGAGCTGGGTCGTGACGCTGCTGTTAACGATGCACACCGTGTCGTGATGACGAAAATCAGATGTCAAGTTATGCCCGCTTACATGTGCTTAGAGAACCTGAAAGTCATCGTGGAAGGACTTTTCTCGAAGCACGATCCAACGAACTCTGGCCACCTACATCGTACGGAGACGGAGAGGGAGATAACGACGAAGTCACCAACGAGCAGCTCGTAGCAGTGCCTGCTGGATACACTCGGGAAACTCTTGGAAATGATCATCCTAAACAGGCTGACGAAATGCACGGAGAGTTAGTAAGGATTGTCGGAGAGGCAGTTCGGGTTTCGAAAAGGAAGAGCAAAAGTGGATGCAATTCGGACAGTTGTCGAGAGAGCCGAGAAGGCGTCGAAACAGAAGTGGGAAAAGGAGATCGATATTACGCTTTTAAAACGATCGACGTCAAGAATGCGTTCAACAGCTCCAGCTGGGAGGCCGACGCTACTTCCTGAACCGGGTTCTGATCTACGAGCCAAATATGGAACAGAGATCGATTAGGATCACGGTGAGAATTCCACAAGGTTCCATCCTTGGTCCAACGCTCTGGAACGTGATTTAAAACGACGGTCTAACGCTGAGCTACCGAAACGAGTTGAGATCGTTGGCTTTGCGGACGAGCTGACAGAATCGTCGTCTTACGGTAACAGGTAATAGGCTGGAATAGATGGAAATGTTGGCAACCGAGGCGGTCGACATGATTGGAAACCTAATGCATGGAGCGAAGCTGCAGATAGCCCACAACAAAAGCGAGGTGGTATTGACCAGTAACTTTAAAGCGTTGCAGCGGTCAGAAATTACCGTTGAGATGCACGCAATAAACTAGAAGTGCGTGTTGCAATGCCTGGGAGTGATGGTCGACGACAGTTTGACTTCAATAGCCACGTAGAATACGCCTACGAGAAGGCAGCGAAGGTCATCAACGCGGTAGCCAGAATCATACCGAACATCTCGGGACCATTAACGGCGCCGGTGGTGTAGTGGTAAGCGTGATTACCTCTCACCCCAGCAGGCCTGGGTTCAATCCCAGTCGGCGCTGCCGGGATGTTCTGAGGCATAACATCTCTCATCACGCCTTCCTTCGGATGGGAAGTAAAGCCGTTGGTCCCCGGTTCATGAGTTGATGGGTCGATAGGTAGGGTCCAGGTGTGGGAGCTGCCTTCCTGGCACGTCGGTAGCATTGGTGCTCAGCACGGAAAACAAGATCGACGGAAAAAACAAACCAAAGGAAAAAAAAAAAAAAAAAAATCTCGGGACCAAGCAGTACTAAAAGACGGCTCCTGGCTAGTGTGTTTACGTTGATACCCAAGTAACATTGCTAGTTTTATCGTGGTTTTAAAGTATTCTACAAGTCTAAATCATGGTCTACAGAACCCTCATAAAACCATAATTGTTACTTGGGTACTGAAATATGGAGGTTCAACGCTGAAAACCAAGCGGAATTTAAGGAAACCGAACAGTACGTACCGGCTCAACAAACCGTTCGCAAACTTTTCGAGTAATATGGTGTACCATTTGTTGTAAGAATAGTAAACATTTATCAGTAGTTCCATTAATAGTGGATAAATAATGGTTAAACTTGATTTCAAAATCATTTTGATGGTTACAATATTGAAAAAGAAAATTTCCCGTTTTTGTCAGTCTAAAATTTCAGATGCAGCTGACAAAACTGGGAAAGTACAGTAATACAATTTTAGTAAACAAACTAACACTTCTTCCTTGTGTGTCACCTTTGTATTAAGCTTATAGGAACCCGTCTGTATGCAGACTGTAGACTGCAGACACATGAGAAAAAAAAGCGTGTGACACGCTGCCAATGCTATAGGTGAAGAGCTGTTCCCTTTAGGGAGCTGGTCGGGTCAGATCCGCTCAGCCACATGAGCTGTTTTGTCCACCTCTAATGGGAACACCGAAAGCAGCACTAATCCAATATTATTATTCAGCAGAAGTGACGCTACCGCAGATTTGTTTGTACGACTCGAAGGATTTGAACCGCGCTTACATTTTCTGCTGGAGAAACGACGAGGCTAGTCTGTCACATTAGATTCACCAATGTATGTTTATTTAAATGTACACGAGCATGTAAATGTATAGGACCACCCTAATAAAAACAACCATAAAAGAGAGCTAAATGACGTGTTCGGGGTATCATCCAAACCATTTGTGGGTTAGTTTACCTATCCGTGTTACAGTTCGTTTATGGTATTTGTTTATTAGGGCAGCCGTTTAAAAAATTATGTTCCTCGATAAGTTTATACATTCCTATTAAAAATTAATCGAATGAACGTGTAATATTCTACGTTTCAACATGCTGTATCTATGAATGTGCCTATTTTCCAATTTAAAATTTAATGAAATTCATTCACATCATTGTTTAAAAATAAAAAAAAATAAACCTAATAATATTGCCGGATGGTATGATGCAGGATAGCTTCACCGACATCTGTGTCGGTGGGTCAATGGAGCAAAAATCAACGGTGAAGGTGATGCGGCGTTGGTTGGTATGAGGAGACATGAAGTAGAATGACAATCATAACAATAATCATAAATTTCAGTTTGCCTAAAAATAAGTTAGTGAAGAAATAAATGAGAAAACGAGCGAGAAGCAAATGACTGTGCGAATAGTTTATTTTTTGGCATGTTATGACATTGCAGGTTAATCATTACGACTTGATTCGTTTAACGTTGCGGACGGTGATGTAGTGAAATCTGTTATACATTGTATGTCAAATAGTATTGAATTTATTTCTGATTGCATACACTCACGAGTCTTTTCTGAATAATCTTTTGGCCGTGCGGTTAATTTGTGGCGTCATCCGTCATTTGTGTCACGAAGTGAGGGTTCGATTCCCGCTCTAGTCGATGGAACGTTTCGGAAAGAAAATTTTCCTTCTTGTCTACTGGGTGTTTTGTCCGTTGTCTAGTGCTAAGGTAAGGGTTCATTTTGTACAACCTCTGGTTGAAGACGGTGTCAATTGTATTTCTTCTTTGAAGTTCTCTAAACATCTCCGAGATTCCCTGAGTCGTAGTGAGGTTCCTCAAACAGCAATTATTTTTTTTTATCTTTGAATTGCGCTGATTTTTCTGGAATTCGTTAATCTGTTTAGAATTAAGGGTTCTTCCCCAAATTTATGAAAAAAAATATGCGGTGAAACTCGGGGATGGTTCAGCTATACACAGAGAGATTCAGCGAATTTTGAAGACCTTAAGCGCGCTTTAGACTTTAGACAGGTTCTGTGAACATTAGAGAGTTTCGGCAAACTTCAGAGTTGTTTGGGTGACTTTGGGGGATGGTTTCAGTGACTTTTGGGCGAGGTTTTTAGGAAGCTTTTGACAAGAGACTTCAGGAGTTTTGGGGTGTTTCAGATATTATCGCTTCCTATATCTATCATATTAATATTCTTTAGATTCGAGCGAGGCAACCTCTCCTGGACAAAAGTCAAAAAAATTATCGTTCTAATCCATGTGTAACAACTAATCAATCAAAATAGCATTGCAGCTGACAATTGAACCAAATTACACTTTTTTTTTTATGATACTTCGTCCAGTAATAACTTGCGACCCCTCTGATATCGCCAAGGTGGGCTCCCTGATAAAAGTGCAAACCTTGATTGTTATAGGAATTTCTTTCGAAAAAGTCAATCCCCTTCGAAAACAGAGCAATAAATTGAAGGTTTTCCTTATCGCTGCAATGAGAAATCACCATCAACAACTAACAATGCAACGCATTTTCTGATTGTACCTGCCAGCTAAATGTGATTCTACACGTGCTGAACGAGCTTTTTACAGATTGATCTTATCTGTTATTTCTTCTGTCGGTGTGTCGACTTATAGGGGTAATATTTTCTGACAGTGACGTCCCTTTTATCTTGTATCCGGTTTGGGCTCGTTTAACAACCAGAATGGAAGGCTCAATCTGGTGATGACTGCTTAAAAATTTCCCAAACTACACTACCTGCTGATACCGACAGCGTTATCAGCAGGTTGGTTGTGAAATTGGCGGAAAAATACCTGTTAATACCCTCTAATTGATTATATGTTTTTCGTTTGTCATTTTACACAGGTACAATGTGTACCGGAGGCCCACCGAAAGTATCAGATAAGGAAACGGCAGCCCACGCAGGAACGGGCGGCCACATTCGTCTGCTACACATGCGGCTTCGATACGCCTTCCTCGCAGCTGAGGCTCGTCTACTGCTGCCCCAATGCCGAACGAGAGCCATACTTCCCTTTTATCAAAACGATGAAAGCACCGGCCAATGCTAGTCCGATAAGTCCCCAGGGTAAGACATGGACCGTGCATTTCGTTGACATTTCCTTAGTACATAACCGGGGTCCTGTTCCTTTCAGGTATGGTGCAAATCTGTTCAACGTGCAATAAGAAGAACGAACCTCTGTCCGAAGGTGGCACCGTTAGCAATGTCGATGAAAGGTATCCGTCTCCTACAAAAATGACGTCTAGTGTGATAAACGAGGTTGTTCGATTTAAGGTAAACAACAGATTGACCTACCCTAGCCTTTTTTATAATATACCATATCTTACCATTACAGCCTTATGAATCTCCTTCCGCCCTTCCTGGACCGCTACGGGATCAGAAAGACTACCGAAGGGATTCAAGACCAAATACACCGCCTCACTCTCAAGGACCAGTTGAAAACGGTCATGTTTTTTCGTCAGTATATCCCTCGAACCGGAATATCAATAGTATTTCTCAAGCCCTTTCTCACCTACATTCCAGATGTTACATTTGTAAGAATAATTTCCCGCCGCAATCGATGGAGTGGCTGTCGACGAGTGCCGAACATATGAATTCGCATGCAATGCATTTTCCCTGCCTCAAAGGCAACAGCGACCAGGGTCCGGGTCGGGTGCTAGCGTGTAAGTCCTGTGTGCACAACCTCACCGTCCAGTGGGAGACGATGGATGCCGAACGGGTACCGCTCGAGCACCGCAAGTACATCATTCCTTCGCCGACGCCGAACTCGATATCGCCCGGCAGCAGTGGCGGCGTCGTCGGGCAGCACCGGCCGCCAATAGCGTTAGCCACGCCGCCAACGACGCCGGCGGGCTCGAACGCACCCAGTACCTCGGTGTACTGCTTTGTCTGTGGCCTACATTCAGAGTTAAACTTTGCTAGGTTAATATATGCCAATAAAGAGGTAAATATCCCTTTTGTAGCCCAGGCTCTTGCAATTGCACTGAATATGACTCGTTTCGTTTTAGGGTTCTAGACCTTATTTTCCTTTTCTGTTGAAACACAAGTCACCTCCCAATGCAGAACAGTTACGAAGTGACAGCTCGGCGTTGGTTTGTACATTTTGTTATCATTCGCTGTTGAATCAATGGCGGAAGTAAGTATGGATCAGCTTCTAGAATAAGAATAACATAGATTTAAGAATGTTTGCGACCTACTAAATACCTACTCTTTGACACTTTCGTCTTTATATCAAACATATTTTTCAAAGCAACGCTAATCCAGACCAAGTAGCGAAAACAAATGTATTTTTTACGCGATCTAATCAAAAATATATCGAGCTATAGTTGAAGATGCTAATTTCAAATAACAGACTGTAGTGGTAATTTTTATACGATAGATGGAGTAGATGAAAGCATAGAGTTGATAGTTCCGTTAGAGTACGGCAGTCATCACCATCCCTCTCCAAAGGGGGAGTTTGGTAAAGAGAGATGAAAAAACCGATTTGTAGCTTCCTTAAAAGTTGTTCTAGCTCGCTATTCTAATATCTATATGCAATCTTCACACTGCCGTACTCTAACGGAACTATCAACTCTATGCTTTCATCTACTCCATCTATCGTATAAAAATTACCACTACAGTCTGTTATTTGAAATTAGCATCTTCAACTATGTAAATCGTTGACTTCACGTAGAAGTAATACTAAAACATATAGTCAAAATATCGAGCTATCTTTTTCGAATTTTCTTCGCATTTAAAGCTTATTGCTTATCGCATATTAGCTTATTGTGTGCTCTCAACTTAGTGTTCTAGATGAACTTCCACAGTAATTAATTGAGAGCTTTCTATGTCTCTGTACCATTTTTGCATTAGTATAATAATTGTGTGGTAAAGTACAATCATACTCTATGCCCAGGAAAGTCGAGAAATTTCGACAAACCCGCCTCCTCCAGCATGATCTTGCTTTGAAGCTGCGCCTTGACCGACTGAATTTAGGGAGGCCCCTAATTTTTAAAATAAATAAAATTTGAATCAACAAAAACTCTTAGACAATTTTTTGGACTAAACTTTAAGTATTTTTTAAAAATAAAACAATTCTTAAAATAGGTATTCATTATCTGCAATTCAAATTAAAAAAAAAAACGACCAAAATGAAGCGAGAAACAAAAAGGCCAAGTTGCAGCACAAATTTGAATGATTGTCTATACTGCCGTTCGCATGAATGTCCCAAGGTTCATATAGATTACCAGTGGCGTTTGCTTAGCCTCAATCTACCTGTGCACCAACTCTCAAAACATAAACAATTATCAAAATATTGCTTGCAATGTATAGATATCGAGTAAACTAGAAGATTGAGTGTATTTTTCATCCGATTCGAGTATGAATATGGCATTACTATGGAAAAGTAATAAGATATTCGTTTTCGATACAGTTAAATCATACATACTTGCTCTACCTCATTCAATTGTGATGTTTCGCAATATTCGAAACGTTCTAGGATCTTTCCAAAGACGCGCCCTCTCATCAATCAAAATAGGTCTTACATGAATCCTCATTTAATGGTGATGTTCCGTATCATTTGAAGAGTTCGGGGCTTCTCCAAAAACCCCTCGACAATCAAAATGGGTCTTACATGAATCCTTATTCAATTGTGATGATCCGCATAATTTGAAGATCTCTTCCAATATGCACCTTCTCAGCAATCAAAATAGGTCTTTACATCCCGTAACGATCTACGGTGATCTACCCACGGTAGGGGGCTAAGACAAGCCATCAAACTTCACAGAATTTAGCGATCCGCATGAGGAATCTACTGCCGGTGTAAGCATAATTATCCCATTTGGCCATTTTTATATGGAAGTCCATAAACATGGGACAGTTATGCGCACATCACCATCCATAAGGATTGTATAGAACATGAGACAGATAAACGCAGTATAGTAATGGCTGTTAGCTGTTTATAAATCATGAATTTCAAAGTTGCCTGTAATTTACCTCAGAAAAACTTGCGGAACCTCAGAGAAATTTAGGAGAACTTCACAGAAAGCCAGGAAATCCTAGGAGAAGCCCATACAAACTTTAAATATGTTCATAAAAGGCTTATGCTACACCCAACCGGTAAACATAAGATGCTATTACAACCACATTTGTCGGAAGGTTTTTGAAATAATTTTGTGATATGTTTTGTACGAAAATAGGGTAAAGAACTACTTCGGTCTAATCGCCCATTTTGGGCCTATCGAGCAGAAAACTTCAAATGAATCCATGATTTCAGAGTTAACAAGTCAATTATGCGTTTGGTACGATACTTTAGTTAATAAGCTACCGAACGAAGTCAATGAGAACGCGTGGTATGAAAGTTTGCACCCATTATTCCCAAAAACAAAAGAAGCGCTCCGACCGAATCAATTTTTATCTTCATCCGATAGGCCGAAGTGAATTCATTGGCGTTTCAATGGCGTTTCAATGCGTTAGGCCGAGTTTAGAATCTGTAGGCCGAGTTTGGCGTCAAGAAGCAGTGTTAGACTTTTGACAATATCTCAACGATTGGTTTCTCTTTATCAAATCTTACAGTACGTACGGAAATGTAAATAAATTTGGAAGCCATCAGTGATAATAACATCCCGTTTGGTGTTAAACTGCGCTAGATTAAGAAAGACTAAGTGCGGGTTGTGCTTAATAGGTCGGAAATGGGGTAGTTAACCCTACTGGACTCAGACAAAAATATAATTTCGATGGTTTATACAATGTGACAGACCCTGGTCATAATGTGTGGGAAAGTTGGGGATCACTGTCTTTTATACAGACTGTTCAACATTGCACAACAGTGTGAGAGCAGGGGTAACTGGTCCAGAGATAGGTATCTCAATACCTATGGGTAACTGCCCAACCGTGTTCCAAGCCGAAATTCAAGTAATTCTTGAATGCTCTACAATATGCTTGCGTAGAAATTATAGACAATCGATCTGCATTGTGTCTGATAGCCAAGCAACATTGAATGCTTTTAAAATCAGCAGCATGAAATTCTAAACTTGTATGGGAATGTGCTATGTCACTTCAGAAATTGGCCTGTCGAAACCACGTGAACCGATATTGGATTCCTGGCCACTGCGGAATTCAAGGGAATGAAAAAGCCGACATGTTAGCTAGGGTTAGATCATATCAATAATTCATAGGACCAGAACCATTCTGTGGAGTTTCTGCTTGTTCTCTTAAAATGGATGGAGATCAAGAAATGGGAAAAATGAAAGTGGAGAGACCAACTGGAGCAACACTTCTTCTATTGGCTAGGCAGTCGAAATGGTTCATAAATCTGCACATTTCAATGACTCGCAAAATTCTTGAATTATCAAAGACGGTCTATGCTGCCTATAATCGCATATAAGTCCCATATCGTTATTCGTCAATTTTAAGATAATAACACTATCCACTATCAATTGGCATCTGCTTTCATAACACGTGATAAAACTACGGACTTTGATCATGAAAAATGTGAGAACAACATCAAGTCAGTTTGACCCATCAAGCAAAGTAATCGCATATCAGTCCCATCCTGAGATTCAATCGTTCAGAAGTCAAGTTACAGTTCTGTTTTTTGAATCGCCATATTTTTTGCTGATATAACAAATCATACAGACTTCATTGCAACTGACTTTAACTTGAAAAAATATCAAGTAAATTACAATGATTTTTCAAATATTTAAATGGGAATTGCACTTCGTAACTTCAACTGCCAGTTTCTTAATGCCTACTTTTTCCACATGGGACTGATATGGGATTATAGGCAGTATACTGGTTCAATAATAGGACATTGTCCATGTAAATATCACTTGAACTGTCCATACAAACAAAACTGTCCCATGTGGATTTTTGTCAGAAATAAGTTATCCATTGGAATCAATTGGAATCTACCGGTATTTTACCATCCAGTCTACGGAGAAATAAGTTTGCATCAGCATTTTTCTCGGCCTTCTGTTTTTGCAGATGGGACTGATATGCTTTATGGGCAGTGAAGCTAATAGAAAAACTTCAAGAGGATATGTATCGATTATGTGGCATAGAAAAGAAGGACTCAGAACACCTGCTATGCTTTTGTACAGCAATCTTCAATAAAAGGCTTATTTTTCTGGATAAGTGGCTGGCATAACTTTTGCTATTTGGAATGCCTTTCCCAGTCAAGTAGTATCTACATAATATTCGACATGTAATGCCTGGCTGGGATTTTTCTTTGTTCCATGTCCGTCGCTTCGTATAAAGACTGTACTCGAAAAAAGTGAGACACTCAGGGTGGCAAGTGAACCAGGAAAATGTCGGGAATTTTTTTACCAGGAAAAACCGGGAATTTTAAAGCAAAACCAGGAAAACTAATACTTTACAGATGCATGTTAGTTTTAAATGATGGCGTTATTATTTATGTGTGATGCGTGCAAAATAATATAATTGTATATTCAATACACTTCGATAATCGAGCAGAAAAGCATCAGAGCTTTCGTCGCTGCTGTTATGACAACGCATCTTTGCTTTATGTTCTCAGTACAAACACTATGAAAGCTCATATAGATCAGTGCACGGTCCCTAACCTCACACTTTAATGTTAAGGAGTTGGAGGCTAAAAAAGCAAAAATACTGCTCAAAAAGAAGCATCATTACTCGAAGAGCAGATGACACATCTTAACTCTTAAATGCGCATTATTGTTTTAAAACAACATTGCCAAAACTGTTAAAACTTTTTTAATAGCTAGATGCACTTCCACAGTTGTTAATTGAGAGCTTTCTAAGCCTGTACCATTGTTGCATTAGTATTACTGTGTGGCAAGCATAATCATACTGTATGCCCAGGGAATTCGAGAATTTTTTCAACCCGAAAAATTCCTAGACCGGGCCGGGATTCGAACCCAGCCGCCTCCAGCATGGTCTTGCTTTATAGCTTTGCCTTTACCGACTAAGACAAGGGAGGCTAAGGGAAATTGGTAATTATTATTATTATTATCTTTATTATAAAGGCTTTCAGCCTTTAGCTGGCTCGTCTTCATAAACTACGTAGACAGTTTTTTGGGATTCTTGACCCCCTCCCCCTGCGTAGACAATTGTGCATACAATTTTTTAAAATTTGTATGGGCCGTGGATAATTGTCAACCCCCCCCCCCCCCCCCCTAA